CTGCAAGTGAAATAGCCTAAAACACACTGCTTCCTCCCCCCACCCCACATCTGTACAAACACACACATTGATAAGGTACTGTTGATGCAAGGGCACCTGATGACCACAGCAGGAACACATTCTCAGGTGGCAGCAATAATGAACTCCACTTTCTCCTGTTGGACAGGGGCATGGAGTGCTACTGACTGAGGTCCAGGGAGACACCTGAGCCCATGCAATGCCCGTCCATGCCAGACTCTAAGTAGGTCAAAAGGAAGACTTTGGACACAATGGCAGAGATGACTGTCATCAGAAGGTGCTAAGTGGCAGTGAGCAGTGAGAAGGCACTTTTACAGTGTCCCACGCTACAAGAGAAGGGTGCATGGATGCCGGGAAAGGACAGGAGGGTCTGACCTGGTGAATCAGTTGGCACCTAAGGATCTGAGTCTTGTGAAAAATGAAAGACTAATGTGCTGTACCCACTGGTACACCAGAGGTCCCATTTATTGATTGGATACACATTTAGTCACAATAATATCCAACACTCCTTTTTTTCCAACTGATTTTTTATTTATAAATATAATATTTAAATATAAATTAATGTATTAAAATACATATGTATGTGTATGTGTGTATGTGTATACATACACATACAGGATCCCCTGGGTGGCAACAAATGGTTAAGTACTCAACTACGAGCCAAAAGGTTGACGATTCAAATCCACCTAGAGGTGCCTTGGAAGACAGGCTGGGTGATCTGCTTCTGAAAGGTCACAGCTGTGAGAACCCCATGGAGCAGGTCTACTCTGCACACATGAGGTTGCCATGAGTCAGAATCAACTTGAAAACAAGTAATAACAATAATATATATATGTGTGTGTGTCTGTGTGTATAAACATTTTTGTGTGTATGATGACATCAGCTTAGTAAAAGGTGCTGAGCACATTACTGTGAACATGTTGGCTAACTGGGTTGACTGGAAGGAGCCACAGGGACGTGAAGGAGGGGAATGGAAAATATATAAAAATGATTATTAAAAATAAGACATTTCACAATAAAAAGCAAGGATTATGATAATTATACATATGTAAGTACATCTATCACATGATAGAATTTTGCAAGACCAATGACTCATTCATTGCAAATACCTTTTTTCAACAATGTAAACGGTGGCTATACATGTGAACTTCACCAGATGCTGTACACAGGAATCAGATTGACTACATCTGTGGCAAGAGGCGATGGAGAAGTTCAGTATCTTCAGCCAAAACAAGGCCAGGAGCTGATTGTGGAACAGACCATCAACTTCTCATATGCAAGTTCAAGTTCAAGTTGAAGACAATCAAAACAAGTCCACAAGAGCCAAAATATGATCTTGATAATATCCCTCCTGAATTTAGAGACCATCTAAAGAACAGATTTGATGCATTGAACACCAAAGACCAAAAACCAGAATTGTGGGATGACATCAAGAAAATCATCCATGAAGAAAGCAAGAGGTCATTAAAAAGACAAGAAAGGAAGAAAAGACCAAAATGGATGTCAGAAGAGACTCTGAAACTTGCCCTTCAGTGGAGAGTACCTAAAGCAAATGGAAGAAATGACACGATAAAAGGGATGAACAGAAGATTTCAAAGAGCAGCTCGAGCAGACAAAGCCGATTACTATAATGAAATGTGCAAAGACCTGGAGTTAGAAAACCAAAAGGGAAGAACATGCTTGGCATTTCTCAAGCTGAAAGAACTGAAGAAAAAATTTAAGCCTCAGGTTGCAATACTGAAAAATTTTATGGGCAAAATATTGAACAATGCAGGAAACATCAAAAGAAGATGGAAAGAATACAGAGTCACTGTACCAAAAAGAATTGGTTGATGTTCATCCATTTCAGGAGGTGGCATATGTTCAAGAAGCAATGGCATGGAAGGAAGAAGTCGAGGCTGCACTGGAGAATTGGTGAAGAACAAGGCTCCAGGAATTGATGGAATACCCACTGAGATGTTTCAACAAACGGATGCCACGTTGGAGGCATTCACCTGGTTATGCCCAGAGATCTGGAAGACGGCTGTCTTGCCAACTGATCGGAAGAGATCCATATTTGTACCCATTCCAAAGAAAGGTGATCCCACAGAATGTGGAAATTATTGAACAATATCATTAATATCGCATGTAAGTAAAATCTTATTGAAGATCATTCAAAAACACTTGTAGCAGTATATTGACAGAGGGCTTCCAGAAACGCAAGCTGGATTCAGAAGAGGATGTGGAATGATAGATATCACTGCTGATGTCAGATGGATCTTAGCTGAAAGCAAGGAACACCAGAAAGATGTTTACTTGTGTTTTATTGACTATGCAAAAACATTCGATTGTGTGGATCATAACAAATTATGGATAACATTGAGAAGAATGGGAATTCCAGAACACTTGATTGTACTCATGAGGAACCTGTACATAGATCAGGAGGCTGTCGTTTGAACAGAAGAAAGGGATACTGCATGGTTTAAAATCCAGAAGGGAGTGTGTCAGAGTTGTACCCTTTCACCATACTTATTCAATTTGTATGCTGAGCAAATAATCCGAGATGCTGGACTATATGAAGAAGAACTGGCATCAGGATTGAAGGAAGCTCATTAACAACCTGTGAGACACAGGTTTCAGCAGGTTTCTTGCTGAAAGTGAGGATGACTTGAAGCACTTACTGACAAAGATTAAAGACTACAGTCTGCAGTATGGATTACACCTCAATATAAAGAAAACAAAAGTCATCACAAATGGTCCAATAAACAGCTTCATGATGGATAGAGAAAAGATTAAAGTTGCCAATGACTTCATATTACTTGGTTCTACAATCAACACCAATGGACGCAGCAGTCAAGACATCAGATGATGTATTGCATTGGGCAAATCTGCTGCAAAAGACCTCTGTCAAGTGATGAAGAGCTAAGATGTCTCCTTGAAGACTAAGGTGCACCTAACACAAGCCATGGTATTTTCAATCACTGCTTATGAATGTGAGAGCTGGACTATGAATAAGGAAGTCCGAAGAAGAGTTGATGCTTTTGAGTTGTGGTATTGGAGAAGAATGCTAAGAGTACCATGGTCTGCTAAAAGCACTAACAAATCTGTCCTGGAAGAAGTGCAGCTGGAATGCTCCTCGGAAGTGAGAATGGCCAGACTTCGCCTCACCTACTTTGGCCATGTTGTCAAGAAAGGACCACTCCCTGGAGAAGGATATCATGCTTGGTAAAGTGGAGAGTCGACAAAAGAGGGGAAGGCCCTCAATGAGATGGATTGACAAAGTGGCTGCAACAATGGGCTTGGGTATAGCAAGGATCGTGAGGCTGGCACAAGACCGGGCAGAGTTTTGTTCTGCTGTGCATAGGGTGCTATGAGTCAGAGACAACTCGACGGCACCTAACAACAACAATAACAGCAAGTACATGTATGTATAAAAAGATGGATGGAAGAATAGTTACCAAGATGTTGATGGTGTGTTATCTCAGTGTTGAAAAATTTCAGGTGATTTCTACATTCTTCCCTACATATATATTTTTTCTCTACTTTAGTAAGAAAATGTAATAACTATGTTATCAAAAATAACTATTTTCCTTAAGAGAAAACTCTGAATAACTCAAGAATACTGGCAGTGTGAAAATAGTGTTTCTTAAATTCTCCTAACCCAAAGACAGCACATTCAGGAGAATTGTTCATCCTTCATAACTAAAAGAGGTTTGCATGATCTTTTTCAAAATGGAGATAGACCACAAAGTACGGAATTAATAATAATCATAAACATCTTAAACATCTTGAAGGCAGGGACTAAATCTAATTTTTAACACACTTTCCCAAAGGCTAAGAGCACTCTGAGTGTTCAATCAATCCTCAGTAATTGACAAGCACATTTCAAACCTCATGAATTATTACATCCAAGATGTTATTATCTGATATACAAATGCTATTAAAGAGTAAAACCTCATCTAAAAAAGAACATGAGAGTGGAAGTGGAAGTAGCTCCAATGAAAATAATTTAACTATGAAATTCAATCTACCACAAAAGAAGTAATAGAACTCTAACACAACAAAGCTGTTCTTCTCACTCTGGTCAGAGTCAACGTACCTGGTCGCATTACCTTTGTTCCTGATAGTCCCAGGACTACATGTTATTCACATACCCACTCAACATCTGTCCACTCAAAGTCATGAACTCCTATTTTGTATTGTGGATACAAGATTCACAACATTAGCTATCAGTCATATGAACCATCTCCAGCCAAAGCCCATCTTTACAACTCTGAACTGCCTTATTAAAGTCTGACTGTAATGTGGAATCCTTTTTCAGAGAGCTGCTACTTCATTCTTGCAGGCCTGTTCTCCCTGCATGGCACTAGAAATGGATAGTTTGCAAAACTCACTGCCATCAAGTCATATCCAACTCATAGTGACCCCTCCTTGGGTTTCCAAGGTGGTATCTCTATGGAAGTAAATTGCACAATCTTCCTTCTAAGGACTGGCTGGTGGGTTTGAAGCACCAGCCTTCTAGTTAGCAGTCAGATGCCTTAGGCACTACACCACCAGAGCTCCTGTGGGGAGAGGAGGTCCAAAAAATGCCATGCAACACCCTTCCACTGGAAATGGGCATGAGGCATCCACCAAGAAGGGGTGCGGCCATCACTCTTGATCCCCAAGGCCATCACCTGGTATAGGGACCTCCCATACACCATTCTGTTAAGTGGCAGTTGGTACTGTTTTTGTTGTTGTTAGGTGCCATGAGTAGATTCAGACTCATAGTAACGCCATGTAGCAAAGTCGACATGCCCCACAGGGTTTTCTAGGCTGTAATCTTTACGGAAGCAGAGTGCTACGTCTCTCTACGTACCAGAGTGACTGGTGGGTTCACACTGCCAACCTTTTGGTTAGCAGCCAAGTACTTAACCACTGCCCTGCCAGGGTTCCATATAATTGGTATTAGACATCATGAAATCTAACTTAACATATTTAACCATTTCAAGGAAAACACATACCTGGACTAACAAGTGGCCTGAATTAGGCAAACATGCACCAGATTTCTTGGTATTCTCATTTACTTGCTTTATCAAATTCATCAGTATTTCCACAGCACCTTTGCTGATCATTTCAGTAAGAAATCCTGGGTTTCCAGAAATGAACTTTATAGCCCCCACACAGTACAAAAAGGCTTCGGTGTTCATTTGCAGGTCTTCACTTCTCAGGACCTCCAACAATGACTCTGTCAAAAAGATTAATTATTACAAACTACTGAGCACAACAGCTGGAGAAAGAATATATTAAAGCACTTGTATGTGAACTATGTTAGTTAGAACCTATATTCATATACTTGTTAAAGGTTACTCATATGGTATAAGAAGAAAAGTTTATTTTTAGCTAAGATAAATCTCTGTAATAGCAATGACAGCAAATCGATGGGATTATTAATATATCAACGAGAAAGCATTCCTTTAATTAAATGTGATTCTTTGACTGTTACTAACATTTACCAACCTTTAGTTTTGGTTGCAAAAACTTTGAGTTAGTATAGAATAACTAACAATGAAAGCAATCAAAGAGTTACATTTCAACAAACCTTTAAGATTATATTTGTTGTTGTATAAATGGGAAGACTAATTTAAACAAGATCTTGAAAAAACAATCTCAATCACCATTGTTGTTATGTGCCCTCGAGTCGTCTCTGACTCATAGTGACCCCTCCTTGGGTTTCTGAGGCAGTATCTCTACGGAAGTAGATTGCCCAATTGCCCAACATTCCTTTCGAGGAGTGGTTGGTGGGTTTGAACCTCCAGCCTTCTGGTTAGTAGTCAAGTGCCTTAGGCACTATGCTACCAGAGCTCCCATAGAAAAGGATAATTTAAATATAACATCCCCCCCTTTCCCAAGACAAGAATATTCATCCAAATAACATGCAAGTTCTAGTCTTTAAGACTAATGCCGGGTAACTATAAGGCTAGCTAGGCATATTTCACATTTAATGCAGTCTTTCTTTGTTTTTCAGTCAGTTAGCCAATTCAAATTAGACAATTCTTACATTACTAGTTTTATCACTGCCCAATGAGGTAAATACATATATTTATATATATATTTATATATACATATATA